CCTTAGAGCAAGGTTCTGAAAGTGAGCATATACCTCTCTGCCCAAGAAATGCTCTTACCACTTTTACCCACCACTGAGTCTGTTCTTCAAGCTTCCAATTAATATTGCCCTGATTATGTTCCCTCTTTATATGTCTTTGTCTTAGTAACATCCCTCCATTCTCCAAAAGCATGAGTTTAGGTTTCCTTCAATTTTTCTTACGGGCCTCCCTGGCCTTGGAATGGGTATCTGCAGCAAGGCCCTCTTTTTCTACCTTTTGAGTTGGCAGAATAAACATCAGGGTTCTTCATTCCTTCGATTTTTCCTCTTGAGCTGGTGGTCACAGTGAAAGAAAGGAAGCTATATTACAAAAAGGAGCAAAGAAAGGGAGAAGAAATTCTCTGAAAACCCTATGGTTTTCTCTGAAACCCTATGGTTTTCAGAGGGAAAGGAAGACAAAGCTCTGCTCGTCCCTCGCGGCGCTCCTCGTGAGCCGAGGTACCCCCTAGAGCCTGCGCGCTGAGGCAGGCAGCCTCGCGGGGAGGATGTTCCCTCGGCTGCTACCAGACGGACATTTCTTATCAACCTCCCTTTCTTTCCTCAGAATCTACTTCCCGGGCCTTTGCCCTGGCATAACCAGGTGAGCTTTAACGCAAGACTGGGAGGAGAAGTAAATGTTACAACATTCATTTGGTGGCAAAAAATATTTATGCATTGGAAACCCACCAAAGTGTTGCTGAGGCTACGATTCGTAGATGTTTGTGGAGCACTTAAATGATTCCTGTGGCAAGGACCTTGTCAAAACTGCTGCTGAGTGTCTGAGTCTTATGAGCTCTTGTATACCCTCAGGTTTGATCACAGCTGTGAAGAGACCATATGATTAACGTCATCTCCAAGAATGTTTTGCAAACTAACAACAGAAAACATATTTTTCCACCACATAACTCTCGCCAAGGCAAAATTCAAGAGCTTGCGTTAACCATCATAGTTAACATGAGCACCTTACATTTTAAAGCTGACTGGACTTTGTTTAGCCATGAGACTAATGATCTAATATTGTGTAGGAAATAATATTACCCCAAAAAATATTCCTAAATGTTATCTGAAGGAATTATTGGTACGGTTTTAGTCAGTGAACCAAAGAGTCTCCATGATTGTATCAGACATATTCAACAACAGAAAATACACAATGAAAAGAAAATGTTCTCATTGCAGCATGTCTGTGTCTTTTTTTCCCCCACAAGTTAATATCGTAATGCTTTTGTTGTTGCCAGCCTTTTAATTATATAAATTCCCAGATCTCTCTTTTCAGCAAAAATTTACTTGTTTTAAGCTATTATCTTACACTACATTACACATAAAATGAAATATCTATTAAAAATATACAAAAGAAATACATTCCCACCCTTTAAAAAGTCAGTATAAATTATGTTGTCCATATAGCAATCATCTGAAGTGTCAAATAAACCAGTTACTTTGGTACGATTTTTAATTTGTTCATTTACAAGAATGGTAGAATTATGGAATATGAGTTAACTCTAGCTTTCCAGATCTGATTACCTTATTTTAATAATAGTACTATATTAAAAAGAACAAAAGACTGCAGTGCCTTCATAATACATATTTCCACCTCAGTAATAAGATTTCAGCACTGCTGCCCTGGAATGGAGAAACAAATACTGCAAAATAAACTGGTAGTCTTTAGGAGTGCCCCATTAAAGAGGGGTTTGCTAAATGTAAAAGCAGGTAGAAATATATATTGGACAGAAATGCGTATTACTGAGGTTGCAAAGCCAAGAACTGAAATTCTAATATATCCTAGGACTAAAGTGCTCGTCCTAATTCATCCCTCTTAAACATTATGTATTAGCCCTAGTTACATGATTTTGTATTATCTTCCCCTTTGCAACCAGTCTTTGAACGGTCTATAATGGCTTGAGAGTCTAAAACAGAGATAAGTGTTTTAAGAACTGCTTCATTTTTGCAAATCAGATGAGTTAGGAGGTGCGCTCATATTTACGAATGTAGTTAAACGAGTGAAGAAAGCCGAAGGTTGCACGTTGGAAGTGTGTTCTATCTGCTTGTCCTCCAGGAACAAGCCAGGAACAACTGAATAGATCTCTCAGAAACATTCGGGAACAACGATCCCCACTTTCTGCACAACCAGAGTACAAGAATAGTTATGTCTGAACATGTAAAATGCTACGCAATGTATAAAGTTTTTCACATAACACTTCATTAAGATGTGAAACTCTTATTGTGGGAAGCTATGAATGGTAAAAATTTGCATTGCTTCAAAGACCAATTGAGCAAATTCATGGAAGAAAAATACACTGCAGCTATTAAATACAAAGACAATACATCTGGCTCAGAAAGCTGTTGTAAATTGTTGGAAGCTGTAATAACATGCTGGAGGAAGTATTGCTACAAGCTTTGATGTTTATACTCTTATCAAGACACCAGCTTTTAACGTCTAATTTCCAGCCACTTCTACACACAGGATATTGGGCCAGATAGACCTTTATCTACCTCAGAATGACACAGCACAGCCTCCTTATGCTTTTACACCACTTGAAAATGAGTTCCTAATAAGCTTCAACTGGAAAGCCAAAATCAGTGGATACTTCTCGCCTTAACCTTACTGTGCTTCAGTCAGTTATCCTTTGAAAACTGTAGATATCAACACCCTTCTCCAGTCACAGGAGAACTGTGAAAATAAACTCATTAAAGTTGTGAAGCAGTCAGAAACTATAGTGACAGATACCACAGAAAAGCCCAGGAGAAAAATTAATCATTCTTTTTCTAGAGCAGAGTTGGAACAGTGTGCAGTAAATAAGGCTCAGGGCTAAACACTGAATCATAAGGAGAAAAAAATATTGAATTCAATTGACAATTCAATAAGAATTCAATAAGAATTGTCTGTCCTGAGCCACGACTGAGGCAAGGGCCTTATGCAAAAGAGTGTGTGATCACGTCATTAAACAAATATAATGTCTACACTCTGGAGGGTCTGAATAAAAACTGCACAACCAACCTCATTTTTACCACTAAGGGCTTCTGAATGATTGACTTTCTATGACGGTAACAATCTTTTAGCATAGTTCTGTGTAGGTAAAAAAAAAATCTAATTGCTCTAAAAAAGCAGACTAAAACTCCAGACATTGCACCACATGGTGTCAAATTTGCAAAATTTTGCCAGATGAATTAGGACATCTATATCCATCACAACAAGCTCTTCCACTTAAACTAATGGAGTGACTGATGGCACTTTGTTAGCATCTATTTTAACACTAAAGAAAATGAGACAGTTTGCCAATAAGTTTCACAGATATTTGTTAACAGCAGAGAAATATGGAATTGTCAGGCTCTGAATTAAAAGCATATTTCAGTGGATATACAGTCTCTCTTCATTCTTCTGAATATAACTCCTTTTGCCTTGCTGTCTGTCCATTAAAATTGCCTCTTCTATACATCCACCAGTGCTACCTTCCTTAGCCAACCAGTCTCAGTTCCAATATTCATTTCCTTGCACAATAACCTTTTCAGATTTTATACACAGTCAGCTCACCCAGTCAGTTCAAATACCCCTAATTCAAGGCTCTCCTTACTTGCTTCCCTCTTCAACCTGAATCTTCCAGCTACACCTCGCTCAGAACACATGCCTATGAGGTGTACATGAAAAAAAGGAAAATAACAGGAAATAATAGATTTGTAACATATACATGTTCTATTTACAATGATGTACTTTATTTCTCTGAAATGTTACCTGTGTGCATTATGTGAGAAGGTCTCTAATAGAGTGTTAGGTTACTTGGTTATGTAAGATACTGCTCGGCAATAGATGTGCACCAAACAGGAAGCAAAGTGATTGCAAATTACTTAAGAGCATAATCTGACAAATTAGCTATATAGATGACAAGGAGGATATGGAAGCGGATAAATAATTACTTGAGAAAATTGAAAACTAAAAATAAGAGTAAATTATGTCATTTAACAAACCTTATCATTGACCTGCTTCAGGGGTCAAACTGCTAATATTAGGAGTTTTTTAAACTGCAAAAATAACCTAGATATAAACAGAATCGTTGCTCACATATAATGACATCTAAAGAACAAAAATAATGACCCTGTCAAATCAGCAAGTAAACATAAAAGACATTAAATTCAGAGTCAACTTTCAGAACTACCAATAACCAACACACTGGAAAAAATGAAGGTTTGTAACTCAAGCTACATTCAGTGCAAAAAAATATATACATTCCAAAAATATTCCCAAATCTAATCTGTAAGAGTCCTCTTTTTCACTTTCCTAAGAGGCGCCTCCTTCCAGGTCCTGTGACAACACCAGTGCTGTACAGCTTAACCCACTGCAACACTTGTCTGGCCTAGGGTGTAAGCAAGGGTGTAAATTCAACAAGCCTTAACCCACTGCAACACTTGTCTGGCCAAGGGTGTAAATTCAACAAGGAAATGTGACAGAAATAAATATATATCTATTTTGAAATAAAATCTGTTAGTGCCTATTTGGGGATGAGCTGAATCGGTCTCTTTGCTCCCACTACTGTACTGAATAGGTCTACTTTGGCTATAATAGGAACTTGGACACATAGCTTGGACATCAGCACCTATGGTTGCCATTTGGTGTCTTAAAATGGAACTCATTTTCTTTTCTTAGAAAATGTGTATGCAATGGATGGGAAATAGTGTAAAATGATTTTAATAAAAACATAACCTCATGAAATTAAATTTCACCAAACCTTTCTTGTAGTAGATAGCTATACATAATTAGAAATTAATAAAGATTAAATTAGGTACAGAAAAGTTGCAATACTACATCTTAAAAGCAAAACAAACATATTGCAAATACTGTCAATAGGAGGGAGTAATTAAAAAGTAATAAAAGTCACCACATAAAGGCTATAAAGTTCAAACAAAACGTATTCCCTATTTCCCCAAAGGACCTAGGTACACAAAAATGTCATAGCAGCAGGCAGGAGTTTACACCGTGTATTATGCTTTACGTACATAACCCAAAAAGCTGTCAAAATATTTGATCTGGAAATAATAAGAAGGGTTAGGATGTGCGCTCTGATTGGCAATGGCCGGGGACACATCCCCGGGCGCCGGGGGCTCTCCAGCCGCGGAGCGTTTGCGCTGCTCCCTGGGGCGAAGGGAGGGACCTGCTGAGCGCCGGGTCACACCGCGCTCCATCGTCTCGTAGGGATTGTGGTCCAGTCGCATAAATCAAAGCAGCTTGTAAAATGCTTCAACTAGTGAGGAATGCAATGAAAAATTACCCAGCACTTTTACCTGCTCCTTAATGGCTCCATCATGAATATCCGTAAAGCTTAAACTGAGGCAAAGGGGAGAATCTGATCAGAGACTTTCAAAAACAGTGATCTGTCCTTCTTGATCACTAGTGCAGCCACTGTGAAAATGCTTGCCCTGAGAGCATCTGTATTTGCTCATCATAACATTTCTAACCTTGACAAGACACAAGATAACATCTTTAAAAATACATCAGCCTTCACTTTTCTGCTTCACTCTATTCCCCTCTTCGTTTCTGCTGTAACACCACCACTTAGAACCAGCGACATCATTCATCAACTTTAAAGAGGTAGAAAGCAGGATTAATTCTATTGGATCACCAAATGACTAAAATGGTCGACGTCAGCCTGGAAAGAAAGCAAGATGGTAATCAAAATGTATCGACGTGGTCCATGGCAGAGTTAAAAATCACTTATCTTCTGCAGAATTACTGGAAGTTACAGGTAAATCAACTGCCTTCCCCTTTTTCCTTTCCTTCTCCTTAACCATTTTGTAAAATTTCCTGTCTTAGTCTTCCCTGACTCCATCAGTCCTCCCAGGACTGCTCTGTTCTGTATCTTGACTCTTTCTATTGGTATTGGCAAATACTCTGACTGCAAAAGATTTTAGAGCAGATCCTCAGTTCTTGCTGGCCACTGTCAACATTTGCTCTAACAGACTTCAGAAATTCACAGAGGGAGGAGGCAGAAGGAGAAGGCAGAAGTTCATCTGCAGAGATTGACTACAGAGCTGCAAATCTAGGGTCACGTTGAGCTTCTACAGAATATTTATTACACAAACTTCCTGAATTTGCCTAACCCTCAATAGTATGTTTTCTACCAGATGTCCTGAAAACTCATCATGCTGCTACCTATACACATTGCAAATATTTCAAACTTGTGAAGAAATTCAAGGAACTCAGTACAGAGAAACTTCTCTAAACTTTGACTGAGAGCATTTATGAGAAACGAGAATAAGTCTAAAAAATATATAAAATACAAAGTGAAGATTAAGTTTCAAAAGAAGCCCATGTATTTGAAAGGGCAAACATGCAGATTCAAGACAGGAATCAACAATCACTAATACTGAACAGCTGCTGTAATCATTAATTTGCATTTCACACTGATGGACAAAAGGAGGAAAATTAAATATATATCTTCCAAAGACTTAAAATTCCTCCTCCGTATCGTTCTTGACAGGATAAGGGAAAAAAATAGGGAATCTGGGAATGCTGGTGGTGCTCGAGACATCAGGACAAAAACTTGCACCTATTAATTCAAGTAACTAAAATTAGAATAATTTTACTAATTGGGTACCCTGTTGACCTACACGTAACATCCTTGCCAGTCTATTATTTGTCTCAAATAAACAACTTCTAAGATACAAACATGGGACTAGCTCTAGGATCACCAGGAAAGAATCTCTGAAGTAGGGGAGAACTTCAGCCTAAGAAAGTTTGTTTCTCTCTTTTTTATTTTTTTTTCTCTCCAAACAATGCAATATGTAACAAAAAGCAGAATTAGCATCGTTATTGATACTGGCATTCATCTATAATTTCAACTAAAATGTGAAAACAGCTTTCTTAAACTCTATTTAGAGCTTCATACAGTATTTTAATACTTTAAACACTTTCTGCTCTACAAATGGCTTTCACGATCTGATTTTGCAGGGGAAGCCGAAAGAATCACGGGGCCCTGCACAAGCACAGCAGTAAATTCGCGCGGCTCCCGGCACGCACGGGGGCCATCGGGCTAAACTGGGACTTCGCTGCGAGCAAGACGCTGCTGGGAGAAACAGCTGAGGAAACAGATTGCGACTCGCAGACTGGCAACCTGCTTGCTGGGTGTCTTGTACGTTACAGGAGAAATATCTTGGGCCAGGGCTGAACACGGCGGAGCGGCGCTAAGCAGCAACAAGCCAGGCCGGAGCCAGGCCCTGCCAGGCCGGGAAGGGGAAGGCGGCTCCGCACGGGGACGGAAGGAGCCCTCGGGAGCGGCGGGAGGATTTGTGTCGGGATCGAGGACTCCGTGCCCGGCCGCACGGTAGCTCCGTCCTGACGCGGATGCAGCGCTCTTTTAAAACGGAGTTCAAGTTGCAAGAAGACTACAAGTTCGCACTTTATCAAAAGCTTGCCATTTTCCTTTACGCTGCAATATAAGAGCTGTATGTGCTGCCTAGTGCCAAATCTCAGAGATTTATGGAAACCTTTAAGGCTGTTTTTACTGAAATTAAGACCATCTCTAGCTATTAAATAAAAACTATTATCCATTATATATTCTCCATAACATAGTTCAATTGGTCAATCAAAGTAAAAGAAATTACTGTTTTGAAGAGTTTTGTATTTTCTTATATTACTGTATATTTTTAACTATTTCATGTGTATTTAAGGCCTTGGCATACAGGAACTGAATGACACATTCTGTTAGGTAAAGCATGGGATTTTGCCCCCGATTTTCTACTTTGTGCTGCAATCATACAAGACCATTTAAAAAATAAGTGAAAAATTTCCACTCCGCTTTACAATCTATTATGCTCATTAAAAAAAAATTTGCAAAGTTCAGAAACACAGTTAATATATGAATGCGCGGCAATTCCAAGAAAAACAATCCCAGAAGAAGCAAAGGAAAGAAAGAAAAAAAAAAAAAAACCTTCTACATTTTTCTAAGATATCTCAAAATCCCCTAGTTTTGCAATTAAAGGCCAGATCCCAGACCTGCCCTGCGCGGCTGCTCTGCCTGCAGTCAGTAGCCGCCACACAGGCTAAAGTGCAACTTCAGGTGCTACTTCATCCCGCCGGGCCTCTAGCTCCAGAGGACATGGGACGTTGTCCTTAAGTTCCCATAGGAATCTACATGCATTCCTATACGCTTGCTTAAACAACCTTCCTAAACAGAGCGGTGTTGTCCCAAACTGTGATCATAATTCAACATAATGACTTTTAAGTGAAAAGACAGCCCTTTGAAAGCTAGATGATTTACTAAGTAATCAACATCACTGTTCAGCTACTAAATAACCATACAAAGAGTTGCCTGGTATTTCCTCCCAAATGCTGTAAAATTATCCTAAGAGCGAGGAAAAAAAAAAAAAAAAGGTTATAAAAATGTAAATAGAAGATGAGAGTTCAGATAGAGTGTGTTCCCTGTTTCCAAAGACGATCAATGTGCATTTGTCAATTCGTGAATATTAAATTTTATTTACAGGGCACGTAATTACAGCACAAGCAAATTTCCAAAGACAAAGAAATGCATCAAACCACGGGAGGTTTGGCCACCCGAGCCCAGTTGGGTCCAGCAGTGCTCAGGCACCACGGAGAGCGGGAACGCCGGCTGGTCCCTAGGCCCGCACGGCACGGTGGACGTTGGCGCACGTGGAAACACCTGAAGTTTCCCAGTCCAGCACTAGCAGCAGCGTGGCCGGAGGGCACTGAAACATCAACACGGGATTTTCTTACCGCACCGGGGCAGGCCCAGTGCCGGGGCGCTGCTTGGGGAACCCAACAAAATTCCAAGCAATGAGATTATTAGGAGCCACTATCAAGCACAACTTCTAGAGATCCCATGACACAACTCTGCCATGGCTTTAAAATCTGGCATTTCTCTAAATGCATTATTATAGCCCACATTCTATAAAAAGAAGAAAAATATGCCCATCTCTCTTTTCTCTAGCTTGTTCTTCATTATAACACATGTCAAAACTAGCTTTCAGTCTAATAAACTATGAAAGAAATACAAATATAAGGCTATTTCAATTAGTTCTCTATGAAAAAACTTTAGGCTCTCCCGCCATCAAACTCATACTTTTACAGAGTAAAACAATGGCTCTTCCTTACTATTGGTAGTAAAAGTGTTGTTTTCCTGAACGGGCTCAAGATGTTGGTATGACTTCCTTTCAATACCCTTTTCTTGTCTCCATGTGCTCTTAAGACGTATCTGACCCTTTTGGCTTCATTTTGCGTGTCATTCTGGACTTGGTCCATTATATCCATAACTACCAACATCAGTTAAATCAGGCAACTTCTTCACACAAAGGTATGTTAAAAACCATAAAAAGGTATGTGTTTAAACCCTAGCACATACAAGTGTTTCCTGAAAATCCTTCCTGGTGAAATCAATGAAATTATCATCATTCCCTCTGAAAAGCGTTATGTTCAATAGTATGTTAGATCATGAATGTTTATGTATTATTAACTCTTACTAAATGCATCAACTTTTTAAAATTTAAAAAAAAATAGCAGCAGTAAATTAAATTTTAAGTCACCTTTATAGACGCTATAAGCATGCTTTATTGAAAAGGATTTTTTAAAGAATATTACAAATAAAACAGTGCATGTTTTCCTTTGCTTTTCTCCTATTTCAGCTAAGTGCCAGTAGAGAAAAAGAATATACTTGAGTTTACAATGCGAAATACTTGAATTCTCAAGCGTGAACAACAGTCATGACCCATCCGTACATACAAAACACGTGGTGAATGTGTTCTGTGTATATGAAGTAACGCACTTCTGTTCAATGGAGAAGGAGGAACACAAGCAAACGCACTCCCTCTGGATAGACAGCGTCTGTGCCACACAACATGAAAGTAACAGTGCACGAACAGAGCAGAGCCACTAATGAGCTCTAAATCAAGTCACCACACAAATCATCCGGGAGAATTGGATTACAAATTCCATTCTTACCCAAAACAGATACCACATTTTAAAGAGCGACATTTATCTTTTGAATTGGACTGACTAGCTGGCCTGGCAAGTTGCGCAGGCTATTCCAAAGGCAGCGGTACAAAATGCAGTCGTATGGTGCGTTTCGATTTTGGTCAGTGGGCTGGTGATCTGAGGATAGCTCAACAGCTAATTGAACTGGGACACCACAGAACTTGGGCAAACTGAATATCTGGACTGTTGTTTTCTACAG